GGTCCTTGCCTTTGCTCGTTCGTGCTAACCCGAAATCACAAATCTTTAGATCACAATTAGCATTGACGAGGAGGTTCCCGGGCTTCAAGTCCCGATGAAGAATGTTGGTTGAATGAAGATACTGCAAGCCGGAGAGCAACTATAATACAGAATAACATTAGAATCAGACTTAGAGCTATAATACATCAAATTCATGTACAAAAATTTTATGACATCAAATTCTTACACCATATGTTCTCTTTTCCTTCAAGCTCACGTTTTAACAAAAAACTAAAACATTTTCAAAGAAAACAGACCGATCGAATACAGAATCCATACTTGATACATCAAATACTTGCAATGATTATTTGAAAGGGGGTGAGACGATCTGATAATGTGATCAAGATCAGTGTTCATGAGCTCGTAAACCAAATACACATCCTTAAAACTATTTCTATGCGTGGGCATCATCACATCCTTCAAAGCAATCACGTTCTCATGTCTTATGTGCCTCAAAAGCTTCATCTCCCTGAGCGTTCTCAATGCCTCGAATCGATTCTCAAATACCACTTTCTCATTGGTCTGTTGGTTGGTAGAAGAACACACCACACCGTAAGATCCTCGTCCAATGGGCTTGATGGGGACATACTTAGTATCGATTTCAAACAGAGTTTGCCACATCGAGTAATAATGTTTACCAGCTGACTTAAATCCTTTGGGTGGCTGGACGGGTGTTGCCATGTTCCTCCAAATCCAACAACTATTTTATTCACCACAAATACAAAAATCATTCAAAAATAGGAAAGGGTTTTTAGAATTTGATCTTACTTCCTTGTTGAAACTGTTTAGATTGAGAAAGGGAGAAGTGTAAGAATGATTTTCTCGAAGGCTCCTCTGTGTTTTTGATGTAGCAATGAAATGGGTAAAGTAAGGGAGAAGGGGGAAATAGTTTGAGTGAAGGAGGTGGTCGCAAACACAGCACAAGACAAAAGGGAATGAAACGGCTGGAAGAAGTTGGTGGGAGAAGAGAGGCATAGATATCAATATATATATAAGTTTCTTAACAATCCAATCAACATAAGTAATAGGAGATTTTAAATTTTGTTTTCAATTAGGAAATGAAATGATAAATTAATACAAATACTTCCAAATTTTATATTTTATCTCAAAAACCCTTTTATCTTTACCAATTTTATCTTTTTAAGATAAAAAAATTCAAAAGTATTAGTATTAGTATTGTATAATTTTTAAACGCAAACTCAATTTATTTTTATAACAAGTTTAATTTTACTAAAAAAATTTAATCTTGTATCCAAACTTTTTTATTATTAAAAAATTTTAATCTTATATCCAAACTTTTTTATTATTAATATTTTTGACATTTGATAAATTATATCCAAACTTTTTAATATTACCCTTAAAAAGTTTATTAGTATTTTTGAAAGCTAATAAAGTAATAAAAATAAATTAGTATTTTTTTAAAGGTAATAAAGTAACAAAGGTAAATATATTTTTGAATTTTGTTTCGTAAGAGTTATTTTTTAAATTTGAATAGATTATGTCAAACTTTTTATTTTTTTTATTATTGCTAGTTTCTTGGTAAATTTGTTGTTCCCTTGCACCGACATTTTTTAAAATATTTTAATATTTATTTGGAAGGTTTTAACATGATAGAACTCTGATTTAAAATATATAGATTAATCCGTGTTTGTATAATTTAAAGAGTAGAAGTTAATGTGGTTTAGAATTGATTTAAACTTCTCCTAAAAAATCAAAAATTTATTTAAGTTAATTCTTTTAAAAAATTAAAAGTTTATTTAAGTTCTAACTCGCGAATTGGAGCTTGTTTGGTTGGGTTAACTCAATTCACCCGACAACAGAGTTTACAACTCGACTTCAACTCAAACTTCATTTTATCCTATTTTCAATATTGTTCGGAAGATTAAAAATATTGCTTTTAAATGTAAGGTGATATATTCAAACTTTAAAAGTTTTAGTCTAAGGGTCGATCAGAAATACACTTACAAAAAAAATGTAAATTAAAAATTATTAAATAAGTATTAAATTGAAAAATAAAATAAAACACCCCAACGAACGGAAATAAAATAAAGTTTGTTTGTTTTTGGAGTCCATCAAGAGTTTTATTTTTAGAAATTAATCTCAGCCTCTGACAAATTCCTTCTGACAAACTTCCTTCTCGTAACCATTCCCGCCACCTTCTTCTTCGCCAGAACTTTCAATCTCTTCGCCGCTCTCACCTTATCTTCTTCTCCTTCTTCGCCATTACCATTCTTTTCCTCTTCCAGCTTCTTCCTCTTCAGCAGCTTAACCACGCACTGAAGGGACACCTCAGCGTCCTCGCTCTTCATCAGCTCCTCCGCGATCTCTGCCGGCGGTCACCTCGGTGGCATCGAGAAGGGTTTCTATCTCCGAGAACAGGCTGCGGCAGAGAGTGGAGTTGATAATGTAACCAGAGAGAAGGATCTCACTGACTACAGGAGACATGAATATAAAGCATGAAAGAACAAGAATAGAAACATTAAAATCTCTAAGATTATTGAAAATGAGTCCCCATCGATTAATTTAGTGGAAAATGGGAGTGAGTCCACATTTGTTAACTTTGATCATTGATCATGTAGATTAATTTGTTATAAATGAAAATAAGCAGAATATTTTTCTCTTCATCCACGTATCCTTTGAACGTTACCTATTAAATTTTTTTTTTTTAAGGTTTAATCATTTGAAAATATATAAAGTAACAGATCAAAATGTTATTTTAACCTAAAACTACCGTTGACCTAGTGACACAAAACTCATGTGACCACATACTTAATAGGACGAGACATCAATTACAAAAAGGTCCCTAAATTTTCAAAAACGAACGTGAGTGGTCCGTGAAAAAAGGGCAAAGAGGGCAGATGGGATAAAGTTCGGGTTGGTGGGTCGGTGGCCATTGGATTTTGACCATCAAAACTTTAGTTTTTCAAATATGTTTTTGACCCTATTTTCTAATTTTGAAATTAGTGAATTTAATTTATTGTGGCAGACATCAAATTTCTTTCCCTTTATTTTCATAAGAGTTTTTTTTAATAATAAATAAAACTTACAATTTTATTGTATACAAAAAAAATGTTTTAATTTTTGAAATAAGTCTGATATATGAAAAGAAATATAAAATGTTAGAGAACATAAAAGTCATTATGTACTTGAGTATTCACCTACTTAGAGGAAAAGGATATCTCTACAATATTCAAAAAAAAAAATGCAAGCATTATCATAGAGTAAATAAAAAATAAAAAAAAAGTATTTTTGTTTCAATCCATGAGTTATAACATTATAAGCTTTTAACACTTAAACTTTGAATTTGTTACCTAATCGTATTAAAGAATTTTTAGAAAATTTTATAATATATAGTTTAATACAATATTGTTTCGAGAAACAAGCTTAGTTTGAAGATTCTCAATTTATATACACTTCGTTTGATATAGATAATAGCTATCGACTCTCATTTAGATATAATACCAATTCATTCATATATCTCATTTATATTTGTAGGTTATATATCTATCATCTTCTATCTTAACAAGATCCATGCACATTTTTTATGACCAAATTTGATTTGTTAATAAAAAAATAAAATAATTAAGAATTATGAGAAAGAGTAGAGGGAATTTGTGTCGTGAAGAATATGAAGGGTGTGTAATATTATTAAAATACTGTAGACTTATTATTTATAATATTCTCATCAACTCTCCGCTGATCTAATAAATATACGGAATTAATATTTAGAACTAACGAACTGTCACCTTATAATTTGCTAAACCTTAATATAATGATTAAGATTAAATATGCCCACCTTAATTAAAATTTAAATATTTTATATATATATAATTTTGATCGAATTTGAATGCTAAGTTTCTATTCAAAAAATGAAACATGGAAAAAAAATGGTTTATTCAAAATTATTTAATAATGATTTGGTTTTGGTCTAGATCCTTTTATTTACTTATACAAAATATAATTTACAAATTTTACTTCTAAATTTTTATTAATAATGTGATAAAGAAGTTCATATTTATTTATTTATTTTAAAAAAAAATTAGAAAAATTAATAAATTTTTTTCTAATTGAAAAACATTATAACTTATAAAATTTAGATATTAAACTATGAATTAGTATGATGCTACATTTATGGAATCGTGTAAGAGAAAATTGTATGAGTTTTAAGACTTACTAAAATTGATGTTTTATAGTTCTTTTTGACTTGTTGTATTATTAGCTTCATCAAAATGTATAATATATAGTCACTCCAATTTTAAAAGAAAAAAACAAATTTTGGTGTTTATGTTCTTGAAATATTAAAATTTGATATTTAATCATAAAAATAATATGATTAAATTTATAAATTAATATAAGTATATTGAAATTTGATATTTAATTATAAAAATAATAAGATTAAATTTGTAGAGTAAAGTTTATGTAAAGTAAATTAATAAGTGCTTGTTACAATCCATTTAATACTACTGTTGCTCACGAAAGTCCTCAAAATTATACTGTTGAACTAGTATATTAGATTAGAGCGTGTCCAATGTATGGAAATTAATCGAATTATATTTAGATAGTGTTTCTTCCAACATAATTATATGTCTACGTTGGAGCAGCTTCAGGATGATAATAGAGCATCTCAGTCAATATCATTTCTCTGATCTCATGCTCATCAAGTGATTCGTCAATGTCGAGATTGAGGGGAACCTCATCAGTAGAATTGAATTTTGTGTCGTATAGCTCGGACATGTATGGATGTTGAAGTGCTTCATTAGCAGTAATTCTCTTCCTCGGGTCAAACACAAGCATCTTTTGCAGCAAGTCCAAAGCTAAAGGTTCAGCTTGTGGATATTGATCTGAAAATTGTATCCTTTTTGTTGAGAAAGGCATAGATTTGATAAATTTTATGGACTTTAGGTTATCAATAAACTCAATATCTGCTTCCTTTGGACTACCGAGAACTTCGATGATTAACTCTAGTTGGTTGAGGCAATCTGTTCCAGGGAAGGGAAGATAGGTGTTCGACCCAAAATCTCAGCAAAGATGCATCCCACAGACCACACATCAATGGAAGTACCATAGTCACATGATAGGAGAAGCTCTGGTGCACGATACCAGCGAGTAACAACGTACTCAGTCATGACTTGGTCCTTGTCTTTGCTCGTTCGTGCTAACCCGAAATCACAAATCTTCATATCACAATTAGCATTGACGAGGAGGTTTCCGGGCTTCAAGTCCCGATGAAGAATGTTGGTTGAATGAAGATACTGTAAGCCGGAAAGCAACTGTAATACAGAATAACATTAGAATCAGAACTTAGAGCTATAATACATCAAATTCATGTACAAAAATTTAGTGACATCAAATTCTTACCCCATATCTTCTCTTTTCCTTACAAGCTCACGTTTTAACGAAAAACTAAAACATTTTCAAAGAAAACAGACGGATTAAATACAGAATCCATACCTGATACATCAAATACTTGCAATGATTATTTGAGAGGGGCTGAGACGATCGGATAATGTGATCAAGATCAGTGTTCATGAGCTCATAAACTAAATACACATCCTTAAAACTATTTCTATGCGCGGGCATCATCACATCCTTCAAAGCAATCACGTTCTCATGTCTTATGTGCCTCAAAAGCTTCATCTCCCTGAGCGTTCTCAATGCCTCGAAGCGATTCTCAAACACATTTTTAATCTTCTTGATAGCCACTTTCTCGTTGGTCTGTTGGTTGGTAGAAGAACACACCACACCGTAAGATCCTCGTCCAATGGGCTTGATGGGGACATACTTAGTATCTATTTCAAACAGAGTTTGCCACATCGAGTAATAATGTTTCCCAGCTGACGTGAATCCTTTGGGTGGCTGGACGGGTGTTGCCATGTTCATCCAAATTCAACAACTATTTTATTAACCACAAATACAAAAAATCATTCAAAAACAGAAAAAGGTTTTTAGAATTTGATCTTACTTGGTGAAACTGTTTTGATTGAGAAAGGAAAGCAATGAAATGAGGTAAAGTGAGAGAGAAGGGGAAATTGTTTGAGGGAAGAAAGTGTAGCAGAATGGCTCAGGATTGGAAAAAGTTGGTGGGAGAAGAGAGATAGGTATCAATATATATATAAGTTTCTCAACATTCCAATCACCATAAGGAATAGGAGATTTTAAATTTCCAATTAGGAAAGGGAGATGATAAATTAATATAAATACTTCCAAATTTTATATTTTATCTTTACACATTTTATCTTTTTAACTTAAAAAAATTTAAAAATACACCTATCTTATTATTATTATTATTATTATTAGTATTAGTATTAGTGTGGTATAATTTTTAAAATGCTAACCCATTTTATTTTTATAACAAGTTTAACTTTTTTTTCTTTTCACCTCAATGTGAACTAAAATTAACTTGGATGTAAACTTGTATTTAGTTGATTTTTTTAAAAAAAAAAATCAAAATTTTATTTAAATTCTTGGAAACGGGAACTTGTTTGGTTGGGTTAACTCAATTAAACGAAAAACAGTGTTTACAACTCGACTTCATCTTACCCTATTTTCAATATTGTTAGAAAGATTAAAAATATGATTTTTAGACGTAAGGTGAGATATTCAAACTTTAAATTTTAGTCTAAGTTAAAAATTGCTTTTGTGAATTAAAAATTATTAAACAATAACTATTAAATTGAAAAAGAAAAAAAACACCCAAACAATTTTAACGGAAATAAAATAAGGTTGTTTCTTTCTTGAGTCCATGAAGGGTTTTATTTTAAGTGTTGTAGAAATTAATCTCATCGTCTCATAAACTTCCTTCTAGTAACCATTCCCGCCGCCTTCTTCTTCGCCTGAACTTTCAATCTCTTCGTCCCTCTCACCTTACCTTCTTCTTCTTCTTCGCCATTACCATTCTCTTCCTCTTCCAGCTTCTTCCTCTTCAGCAGCTTAACCACGCACTGAAGGGACACCTCAGCGTCCTCGCTCTTCATCAGCTCCTCCGCGATCTCTGCCGGCGTCACCTCGGCGGCATCGAGAAGGGTTTCGATCTCCGGGAAGAGGCGGTGGGTGGTGTGGATTTGCAGGTAGTTGGTGGCCAGAAGCTTGAAGCCATGGAAGGTGCAGTAGGACATGTGGATGTGCATGTCCATTCGCCCTGGCCGGAGAAGCGCCGAGTCCAGGCGGTCCTTGTGGTTGGTCGTAAAGATTATGATCCTCTCGTCACCACAGCTGGACCATAGCCCGTCTATGAAGTTCAACAGACCTGACAATGTGAGCTGCACAAACAAGATTTGATTTACTTACAACAATATCCCCACGCCTCCCTCATTTTTGTATTAATTACATGTGATTTTGGATCATATAAATAACAAATTGGATCAAGATGGTCTAATTAATCAAAATTATCCTCCACTAAGTCTTCTCTAATTACGCTTTTGAGAGCACTTTGTATTTAAAATAAACATGTGAAAGTTTGGCATGCTGAAAAGGACGGTGGAGACTTGACCTTTAAAAAGTGTTTATAAAAGTGACTTGGAGTTTAATTAATGGCATTGAGGAACAACTTTACTTATATTAGATTTGATTAACTCCAAATTAAAACTTAAATTACTACGAACTTTCTAATTCTACATTTCACAAATTTAAGTTTAATTTATTTTTGTTGAAATTAGTTTGTGAAAACTGAAAAGAAATTGAGAGCAGAGTGACCTGAATTTCAGAAGGATTCCTGGACCAATCACCAGGGCGGCGATCCGGCAGCTCAACGGTACAATCAATGTCCTCAATAACCAAAATAGACCGATTCCCTGTGGTCAAAAGCAGCTTCCGCAAATCCGAATCCTGATGAACATTCGCCAATTGCAGATCATAAATATCAAACTTCAAGTAATTAGCCATGGCTGCCACCAAGCTTGATTTTCCAGTCCCCGGCGGTCCGTGCAACAAATACCCTCTCTTCCACGCCCTCCCAACTCTCTTATAAAACTCCTTCCTCTTCAGAAACCTCTCCAAATCCTCAATCACCTTCCTCTTCGCCTCCGCCTCCATCGCCACCGTCTCGAACGTCGCCGGATGCTCCAAATTCACCGACTCCCATTTCCCGCTGAAACACCCGGAGCTGTTTATCGTGTACATTTTCAGAGCTCTCTCTTCGTTTTTCAAGGCCAGTGCGCGCTCGAGCATGAAGGGGATGTAGGAATTGATGATTTTGCGTCGGTGGGTTTTGTCGAATTTCAGCTCGAAGTAGTGGCGCTCTGTTTTTAGTGGAGACAAAGTGGTGATGTCATTGGGGGCCTGGAGGTTTTTGTCTTGACCATGGGAATTGAAGGTCCATAAGAGGGAGATTCCTTCGAAGGAATCGGTTAATTTCTCGCCCGCTTCGAGGCGGAGGGTTGGGTGTTTATCTCTTGGGGTTTTGGTGATGCGGAGGCGCGCAGTGTCGGAGGTGATTTTAGTGGAGAGATAGGTCTCGGCGGCGTCGAAGATTTGGTTTGGGGACATTCCGTTGGTGTCTTCGATGATGAGGGTGAACAGAGAAGTGGAGTGGGAGTTGAAGAAGCGGCGTATTCCGGCGCCAATGTATGAGCGGACAGGGGCTGGGATGAGGTCGTTCGCCATTGAACGGAATAACATTAGGGAGCCGGCCATGGAGGCGTAGGCTGAGAATAATGATTGTGGCGACGGCATCTCTTTTGGTGAAAACATCTCGCGGTGGTGGTTTGATCGGACTTTTGGGAATGGGGGTTTGATTGGGAAAAAACTTGGATGCTTCAAAGGGGATGAAGAATCTCACTCAACTTATTCATTTCATGGTCTTTTATTTAAATAAGAAAAAACAAGATTTGTGTCATTAAACACTATGAATGAAAGTGTTTACGATTAAAATAATGTTGATAAGATCACTCAAAAACAAAACATTGCTCAAGTTTGTAGGTAGAAAAAATGGGAAAGAAGGAAAGAAAGTGGGAATCCTAATGTAGTTGGACATCAGATAGCAGGGACTGTAGAGAGGAAGGGCCAATTACGTGGGCTCACTTTAATGTGTCATCCTTTATCTTCAGCTTTTGTACCCATTGGAGTGCTCCTCTTACTGTCTTTTCCCCAACCATTGCCACCCTTCCTGAATATTTTAGTTTAGTTTTGGAGAGAGAGGGAGGGATAAAATTCCATATTCTAATCCTAAATGCCCATAAACGGGTAGCTTGGTGTATTGGGGTTTATGATTTGGTCATTGGTGACCTCCAATGCACTTACAAATGGGAATAAAGTCACTAAAAATATCTCTCCAAGTGTCAACAGTCACCATCCATAAAATGATTGTATTTTCAAGAAAATCATCGAAGACGATGACAAGTTTAAGTGGGGGAGGATATCATAATCGTAGTAGAGAATAGATTGTGACCCTCATACAATGACATGATAAATGTCGACCCTCAAGTGGCACCCGTTCAGCCACATGATGGTTAAAACAGACCAGTGACATAATGCATAACAAGAAGTACTGTGCATTATCTACCACACTAAAGAGATGTGCATTGAAGCCACGCTGAGGCATAAGCCGGTTAGAGACAATGATGTCAAAATGAGGGATAAATATAGACTTGATAAAGGGTCAAGTAGGGTTCTCAAAAGTTGGGGTTTTGGAAGGAGTGGTTCTGGAGTTATCCATGTCTACCCGTATGAAACATGAACGCTCGTCAAGTTTGGTGTTGATCGGACACCAGTTGAACGCTCCACGAGATTGTATGACCATTCACCAAAATCATGTATACTTCTTCCATACAAAAAATGCCTCAAAATGTACCTTGGGAGAGGCATGAGCCTTGTAGCGCATACGTGTGTCGAACGAGGGGTGAGCATTGTAAGACGAGTGTCTTAGACGACTTACTTTGAAATGAATCTTTCAAGGTGTGACACTTGAATAAAGAAAGAATACATGAATTAATCAAAACCACATCGAAAGGAGAGTAATCTTGAGAATAAAATGACTAAGAATGACTTAAAGGAACTTTAAATTACTACATATATCACCAAGTTGTACATGCATTTCGTGTCACTCAATCATACAAACTACATAATCAAGTTTATTTTACTTGAAATATCTCTATTTTGGGTGACCTCTCTAGAAATTTTCAAAACATACAAAAAGAACTCACGTTGGTTTGTGGGAGATAAAATGCAAAGGAAATGTTGGAGACATCAGGTGTCAAATTTAGATTCCGAATCTCGAATGTGGGACATTACATGATAGTGTCGGTTTTGTTTGTTTGTTTGTTTTTTTTTTTTTTTTTGAAGACTTTCCCAAAAGTCTTTGAGAAAG